TGCATGAATTTCATGCACCGGGCCTCTAGTATCATTATAACATCAAAAAGAAAAAGAAGATGTGCCTAACAGCTAAAAACATCTGTAGTAAATCTGAAATATTAGGGGTATATTTTGATTTTTTAAAATTAGGACAGTCTTTTCCCCCCAAAGTACTGGTACTAAATTTACACAGTCGATGTAAGTTGAATTAAAATATTCTGCCAAGGGACAGGGAAATAATTTTTTTAAATGATTTCTTTTTATATATAACGAGGTGATGATTAAGAATACAGACTTTGAAATTAGATGTAATGGAGTCTAAATGCTGACCATACCATTTTATGGCTATTTCACTTATGGGTAAAGTTACTTATTGTACCTGTGCCTCAGTTTCCCCAGTTGTGAAAATTAAATGAGCTAATACTATGCAAACTGTTTAGCACAGAGGAAGCACTCAATAAATGGGAGATATCAAAAGTAGTTCAAAGACCACTCTTCAGTTGTTTATACAGAGAGTATAGATCTGCATTGTTATAGTACTACTTTATAAATTTCCATATCTGTGACATACAGACCAAAAATTAGCAACCTTCTAAAAGATGAGACATTTATTTCCTATGTGAGCTTTCCCATTTCTGAAATCTTATGCTTCATATATGTTCTTTGTTCGCAGTGTTTTCTAAAGCTTAAACCCAAGTCTCTCACGTTTTCTGAAGCAAGCAGTACTTGTCACACCTACGGTGGCACCCTTCCTACGGTGTTAAGCCAAAGAGAACAAGGTAGCAGAATTGTTTTGTAAACATGTTTTATTCTGATCTGGGGGCAAAGTTAGTTTTGGGAGGCTGAGGGGAATCAATATAGTTTTTAAATCTTATTAAGCTATTTTTGTAGAGAGTGGGTAAAAGACTATCATGATAGATAAGCAGGAGGTAATCATTAACATTTTTAGTATATCTTTATTTTGAATAAGTCGAATGCTTTTTAAAAAATCTCTTTCTGACAGATTTTCTTACATCGTTGCTTCCGGATATGGAAGATGCTCTGTGGATTGGTTTGCGCTGGACAGCCTATGAAAGAATAACTAAATGGATAGATAACAGAGAGCTGACATACAGTAACTTTCACCCATTCTTGGTGGGTCGGAGGCTAGCAATACCAACAAATGTAAGTTTTTTGGAATCAGTAATCTATGTGGCTCTATGAAATTCTTGAGCCTTCCATAAATTATTGGATTAAGAACAAGGGCCTGTTATACGAGTTCATTTATATGAAATGCCCATAAAGTAGATTAGTGGTTGCCAGAGCCTAAAGAGGCTGGAAGGATTGAGGGTGATGGTGAAAAGGTACGGAGTTTCTTTTGGGGGAGGTGAAATGTTCTGAAATTGATTCTCCAATTTCAGGCAAGCCGCGGGTAATGGTTGTACAACTCTGTGAATATACTAAAACCTATGGGATTTATGCTTTCAGTGGGTGAATTATCTCGTCTGTCAGTTGTATCTCAATAAGACTGTCACAAGAAGAACAATAACAACAGTAGCTTCTCTAGCCTTCATGTGTATGCCCTCATTTTTCACAATAGCATCAGATCCACATCCCTTATGTCACAATAATGTAAAACTGTCAAGTAGTGAGTTGCAAACAGAAGCAATTATAAATGCTTTACTTAATATTTTGGGATTTCAAGCTGTCAGCACCAGTCTCCTGAGGTAAAAAGTACAAAATTAGTGATTAGTGATCATTTTCCCCCTAAGAGCTAAATGTAAAGAAGCTATAAAAGGAGATTAGGCATTATATTAACAATAGTTTCCTATATCATGAGATTGCTGCCCATAGCTTCTGTCCTCCCTATTTGCTGGATACAAACCACCTTTTGCACAAAGAGCAAAGATTAAGAAATGAACTTTAAAATTGGATTCCAGAAATACATCCTAGACAATGACTATGTAATCATTTTCCCTAATCCTAGCTAATTATCTAGCATTATTTATTGCATTTATTTACATTTGTTAAAAGCAACATAGGCCCAGCCAGAGTGGCTCAGTGGTTGAGCATCGACCCATGAGCCAGGAGATCGTGGTTTGATTTCTGGTCAGGACACATGCCCAGGTTGCGGACTCAATCCCCAGTAGGGACCATGCAGGAGGCAGCCGATCGATGATTCTCATCATTGATATTTCTATCTCTCTTTTCCTCTCCCTTCCTCTCTCTGAAAAATCAATAAAAACATTTTTTTAAAAGGAGATATAGGATGCCTTCTTTGTTATATATGAAGTGTATATGCATATGAGATAAACTCTAATATAGCAATCTCACAGATCTAAATACTCTAATTTTGCCATATTTAAAAATATTTCATAGGACTGGATATCTTTAATTATTTGCCTTTAAGATATTTTTAGCTATTCTTGTCCATTCTTCCAGACAAACTAGGTTTAGTCAATTTCCAATCAAAACAATTAAATAAAAAATTCTGAGGACAATCTGACAATATTTTAGGGATAATTCACATATTTTTATTACTCTTCTAATTCAAGAATATAGTAAAATATCTCTCTATTCAAGTCTTCCTTTATATCTCTCAAGGAAGTTTTTATAGCAGTTGTCTTTCTTACTGCTATTGATATGGCAGTTTTTTCTTGATTTTCTTACATATATGTAGGAAAGCTATTGTTTGGAATTTTTATATATTTACTAGAGGCCCAGTGCAAGAATTCATGCACGGGTGGGTTTCCTCGGCCTGGCTGGCAATCGGGGCGATCAGGGGGGAGGGACTGCGGGAGGTTGGCCGGCTGCGGGAGTTTGGCACACTGCTTTGAGCATCTGCCCCCTGGTGGTCAGTGCACATCATAGTGACCAGTCGTTTGGTCAACAAGTCATAACAGTCACTTAGGCTTTTATATATATAGATTTCATAGGCATCCATCTTACTAAAAGCCCTTATTACTTCTCAGAGTTTTTCACTAGGTTTCCTTATGTTTCCTAGTGAGACAATCATAATTTTCAAATAACAGTTCATGCTTCACTACATATTGTGTAACTACTAGACTCATGGTAAATACCAGGGGTAATAAACACCTTCCTAGACTTGATCTAAACTTTCATGGGCCTATCTGCAGTCTTTCATTGTTATATTATGTATATGATGTTGTCTCTTTGTTTAAGATATATTATTGTATAACTAGCTTATTTTGAATTTTTATTCAGAAATAAGTACTGGGTTTTTTAAAACTTGTTTCCAGCACCTATTGAAATTGTCATATAGTTTTTCCCATTTAGCCTATTGGCAGTTGGTATAATACATTAATAGATGTTATATTAAACCATCATTATCTTCTCATAAAAATCTAGTTGCTCAGAGTGGATTATTATTTTACTATTCTACCAAGTTAGATTTGTTAGGGTTTTATTTGGGAATGTTTTCATCTCTGATCATAGAGTTTTTTGTGTTTTTTTCCATAGCGTTTTTTTATGCCATATTGTCAGATCTTTTTTCTGATCATGTGAGCTTCCTAAGATGAACTCCATAGCTTTCTGCCTTTGTGTTTTGAATTAGGACTCAGTTTGAGGCACTATCTTTCCCTGAAAGTTTGAAGGAACTACTCACAAAACCATGTGATGTTAGAACCCTTCTCAGGGATCATTCTTGCTGGGATCTTCAGACTGTTGGTTTCAAGACTGCTTGTTTCTGTTTGCCTCTTTGTTTAGTATTTTGATGAAGAGTCCCGCTACCACTGCGCCCTGATGCTCAACCACCGAACGTCACCTTTAACTGGAACGTGGAATTTCACATCCTGCAGTGAACACCACACTCTGTCTCTCTGTCAGAAATACTCAGGTATGGGTTATTATCTAGTAACTGTGGGACTTTATGATGTTAGCTATGTACAGTACTTTTTTTAGCAAAAATCTTATAAATGAATTAAAATTAATTTGTAATCACATAGCTTTCTTAAAATGTCAGCATGACTAAATTCATATTGGTTCAGTGAGTCAGGGCATCTCAAATGGAATGTGATTTTTTTTCAAGTATTATCATCATACTTAATTAAATATCAAAATTAACTATCAGGTGGGATTTGTTATTAGAAATTGTCTAATGGTAAGTTGTGGTTGAATTTTATTCTCCTTTCTATGCTGGCATTTTTTAGATTCTACTTTCTATCATGGGAAAAGGGGGAGAAAAAACTTAATGTTTTAAATTTAGTTCAGTATAAACATTCACAGTTAAATTTAGTACTAAAAAAAGATGTGAAGCATTTATAAATGGATCACTATGACTTCTTATAACCCAAATAAAACCAAACTATATACTTAAAAATAGGAATTGTCGATATTTTCAAAAAGATATTTTAAGAGGTATTAAATTTTTCATTAATCACAATAAGTTTTTAACAGATGATTTTTTTTTAACTTTGTTATGTAGTGATACCCTCAAGTAGGTAATCTAGGTACTTCTGAAGAACTGTTTGCTAAATTAATCCCTCTTGTTGAAGCATTTCAAACAAAGCAAGTATCTGACACGAACCTAAGTGGAAATCTTTTCACAGGCTACTTTTGTTTATAGCTTTTCTGCTTCCTAAATTGGGTCAGCTAAAACAGAATTTTCTTCTGATTTTAGAAAACAAATGCTGGGGCTCATACATTTTACCATACAGGAAGACATACCTAGCCCTCCCACCCAAAATCTAACATAAACTGATAGATAAGTAATATCTAAAGTACATTATTATGGGGAAAAAAGTTTTAATGTCCTATGACTCACAGAGTGGGTAGTTATTGTGTCTTTTTTCTTTTACACACAGACGTTGAAGGCAGTCAGACATTGCGGAATACTTCAGAGACTGTAAAGTACCTAAATAATCTGTACAAAATAATCCTGAAGACTCTGACGTGGCCCGAGGCTCTGAGGGAATGCCAGAAACATGGCATGCGCCTGGTGAGCATCTCAGACCCGTACCAGCAGGCGTTCCTAACCGTGCAGGCGGTCCGGCATAACTCCTCCTTGTGGATTGGACTCTCCAGTGAAGATGTAAGTTTTCAGTCCCCATTGCCAGGATCGGGTGATGGACTGCAGCATTTTTTATTATGCACTGTCTCTTATCAGACAAAAAAAGAACAAAACAAAACCAAAAAAAACACCCAGAGATCATAAAACCTTACTGCAGTGAATTTCATGACGTATATAGTTTTTAGTGGCAGTCGTCTTTCCACTGTTGGAAGATCTGGTGCTTTATTGTTTAGATTAAGAAAAAGTTCTAGTGGACCTATGTAGCTGATCATTTCTTTAACTTATTCCAACGAACAACTGAGCTGGAATCAGGAGCTGCCATGCCTCCTCAGCCAGCAAAGAGAAGAGAGGAGGGGTAGGATTACAAAACCGGTTGGGGCTGGGTGTATAGAAGCCCTGCGGATGGCGCTGACGAGTCCTTCCTATCCCTTTTGGAATCAGCAGAATGAAATGAAGACACTCTAAGAAGGGATAGTGTTTTGCCACATCTTAAGCCATGATTCCGGGTCGATGTCTTGGGTAGTTCTCATTCATTTCATAGCCCAGCAAGGAATGCTAGTTTCCTATCCATTCCCAAAACTGCATACAAATGGAAGTATTTATGCTCCTGAAGCTTTGGGTTATAATTAATAGAGATTTTTTTTTAAGCTGTAGTATTCCTCTCAACATTATAGGCCATTTTGTTTCTTTTCTTGGCCTACTGTGCAATACTTTGATACTCTGCCCACTGAGATGTATTGTAAGGGTAAGATATAGGGCTGGAGTATAAGGCTGCATACATTATGCAGTGCATAGGAGGTGCCATTTACAAAAATTGTGATGTGAACTTTGCCCCCTGCATCTGCATATTGCATGACTGGTGAAGCCCTAGTTAGATAAAAGTCGCCTAGACCGGTATTCCTAAACTACTCTCAGAGTGAGGGTAATGGGCAGAGTAGGAGAGCAAGTGAGTCCATTGCCTTATGAAGCAAACCTAAGTTATGTACACCTTAGGATGACCCTCAGTATATCAAGATGGCTTTAGGGCTGCTTGGAGATAATGTGATCGAAGACAATTCAATCCTAGCACAAACCCAGAGCTGAACTGGAGAATAGACTCAGAAGTAACCATTATCTTTGACAAACTTTGGATTCATTATCACCAGCAGTTACCAGACACTCATTGAAAAGAAGCAGTATTTAGAAATTGCTTGAAGAAGAGTTTCTCTAAGACTCTGGATATTTTATTTTATTAGTCCTCACCTGAGGATATTTTTCCTACTGATTTTTAGAGAGAATGGAACGGAGAGAGAAAGAGAGAGAGAGAGAGACAGAGACAGACAGACAGGCAGACAGACAGACAGACATCTATGTGTCTGGTTGCCTCCCACACATGTCCTGACAAGGCCAGGGTCGAACCTGCAACCCAGGTACATGCCCTTGGAGAGAGAGAGAGAGAGAGAGAGAGAGACATATCTATGTGTCTGGTTGCCTCCCACACATGTCCTGACCAGGGCCAGGGTCGAACCTGCAACCCAGGTACATGCCCTTTACCATGTACCTGTGATCCTTTGGTGTGCAGGCCGACATTCTAACCATTGACCAGGGCAAGACTGGATATTTTATATATTTTTTAAAAAATATGTTTTTATTGATTTTAGAGAGAGAGGAAGGGAGAGGGAGAGAGAGAGATAGAAACATTGATGAGAAACATTGATCGGCTGCTTTCCTGTAAGCCCCCTACTGGTTATTGAGCCCGAAAACCAGGCATGTGCCCTGATTGGGAATTGAACCGGTGACCTCGGTGCATGGGATGACACTCAATTCACTGAGCCATACCTGCTGGGAGGGATATTTTAAAATGTAGCCCCTAGTCAAGCCAGATCATCAGCTTGAACTGCTTTCCCAGACCTCACAGCATCATTTTCTTCATAACATTGCTTTACTTTCTCTTTGGTGTTTGTTACCATATGAAACCCATTCCTGTGTCTCTTGTGAGGCTGGTAATAAGTTATTATATTTTCTGGTTTCAATCACCTTGAACTTCTGAAACAAAAGCAATATTATCACTATGGAAAATTTATTAAGTTCTAGTAAATTAAAAGAAAATATTTAAATCAACTGTAATCCCAGTGCCTAGTGATAAATATGGTTTAATCATTGGGTATATATATCCTCCAAGTTATTTTTATATGTACATGTATTTATTTTTAAGATAATTTGGATCATAATTGTTTTGTAGCTTTTTCCCCCACGTAATGATTTGGGTCTTGTTTCTTATACTATTTTTCAATCTTTACCTATATTTCTCTGTGTCCCTGTTACTGTTTAGTTTTTTGTTTTTTTAACTAATTCCATGTAGCTGTTTAGTATGTATCTTCATAAGCCGCCTTAAATCTTTGGGACAGGGGAGGGTATAAATAAATAAAACTTTACATTGAAAGCAATGTGAAGGTATTGAAGGATTTTAAATGTGGTAACAACAATATCAGATTTTTAGTTAAGAAAAATTATTCTGGGAGAAGGTGGGGGAGGAAGTGAGTAGTCTAGAGATAAGAGACTAGAGTTTCTTGTAGAAATTCTTGCAGAAGATGCTGTTGGCCTGAACTAAGGCATGTTTGCAGCATCTGCAGTGCAGCAGTTCTGGGAAATGTAAAGTCCAGAGTGTGACTGTGGCAGTAGGTCACTCGAGTATGTGGCAGTAAAAGTGTGTAGAAGTAGAGAATGTCAAGGAAACTTGGGAACTGGGACAATCACCCACGTGAACATAGATTTCCCTAAGTCAGTGGGAGGGCCAGGGGTTGGAGCAAGGCCTGGGGCACCTCCTTCGTGAATGTCAGCAAGGAGCAGATGGGCCGGATCCATAGTGAATGTCAGACAGAGACAAGGAATCTGGGAGTTGGCAGTGGTAAGAGAGGCATAAACCTCAAAGGAAATGACTGAAGGAGATAAAAATACTACCCCATTCTCATAGCCCTCTGGGGTTTGAAAATGGAAAACAAACAGCATTCCCTTGTGGGTGCTGGAAGGAAATTATTCTCTTTTAAAAAACAGGTCAAGAATTTAGTAAACAGAGCCTGGCTGACATGGCTCAGTGGTTGGGCATCGACCTATGAACCAGAAGGTCACAGTTCCCAGTCAGGGCACCTAAATGCAGGAGGCAAAGAGTGACTCTCTCTCATCATTGATGTTTCTACCTCTCTCTCCCTCCCCCTTCCTCTCTGAAATCAATAATAAAAATATATTTTTTTAAAAAAAATTTAGTAACAGCTACGTATAGTCTTAATAAAGAGCTTTAGTATTCATTAAAGAGATGGAGTGTGTGAGATGATTAACCTATGAGGATTACAAGTTTCAGAGGCCCAGGACCTGGGTTAGTTGGGAGTGCAGCAGGGGATGGAATCCAGGGTCATACAAGTACAGTCACATGGCCAGAGGGCTACCTCTGAAGCCACGTGGCTTGGGGGTTAACTTAGCACAAGTGACAACTAGAACTCTGGTGGAGAACAGCTCAGAATGAAACATTGGTGGTATTGAGGCTTAACCATGTTTGCTATTTTGGGTTCACTAAGGAGACTGTGTGTGGCCTTTGCCCAGTATTCCAAATAAGCCAGTGATACAAAATTAACCTTGGGCCTCGGGAAAGCTTTGCTCCGTGAGTCACTGTGTGAGACCTCGGCTCTGGCAGCACCATGGGGAAGCTCAGACAGAACTGTACCCCACAATCCATCTCCTAGACTTCTGTGCCTACTCTGTAAAGCCTTCCTCAAGATAGCTGAGTGGCCTGGCCCTGGTCAGGATGTAATAACAGGTGTTCACAGACTTAGAGTGCACAGTAGAATATAGTGATAAGGAAGCATGTCCCCAAAAACAAGTGTGGAAACACTGGCATGACATCCACATGGTCTGAGGGGTTAGGAGGGAGGGAGCTAACATGTATGTCGCTTTCTGTGTGTCCCAGCTAGCCACTGAGGTAGGTGTTTTACACGTGTTATGCCATTAATTCCATCCAGGAGGTTCAGTGTCACATCCATTTAATAGCTGAGGGGATGAAAATTTGGCAAGGTAAACTCACAATCAAGAACTAATAAGTGACCAAACCAGAATTCAAAACCAGGTATGCTTAGCTCTGAAGCCCATGTTCTCTCCACGACTACATGTTGTCTCAAACTTTATCAGTGCCTAACAGGGGTCTTCACTCCACTTTAGCTTTCTGATTTCCAACAACCAACAATGCCAATGATGTTTGAGGCAGCATAGTATAATAATTCAGACCATGGATGCCAGGACCTGCCGACCTGGATTAGAATAGCAGCACTGCAGTTTATGTTCTACATGACTTTGTGCACTATACATGCCTTCAGTGTCCTCATCTGTAAAATAGGTATAATAGTACCTATCTCATATGGCTATGAGGATTAAATAAGTTAACATTTGCAAAGCACTTAAACCAGTCCTGGACACATAGTAAGTGCTATGTGAGTGTGTGTTAAATACAAGATAAAATTAAAATTCATTAGATGGACCATGAGGGCCAAAGCAATACAAAAGGGATTACATGAAGTTGTCACTTGAAATGTGTTTTCGTTCTTTGCAGGATGAACTCAACTACATTTGGTCAGATGGGAAACATCTTCAGTTTAGTCGCTGGGCTGAAAACAATGAGCAACTGGAGGACTGTGTGTTTTTAGATACTGATGGATTCTGGAAAACATCCGAATGCGATGACCACCAGCCGGGTGCTATTTGCTACTATCCAGGAAGTATGCTAAATTCAAATATTTCATTTCTCAAATTATTATTAGTCTCATGATGGGTGTGGTTTTGTAAAATCTGGTTTTGAAATTGTAAGAAAATTACAATCATGTTCTTATTTTTTAAAATATATTTTTATTGACTTCAGAGAGGACGGGAGGGGGAGAGAGAAACAGAAACATCAATGATGAGAGAGAATCATTGATTGGCTGTCCCCTGCATGCCGCACACTGGGGATGGAGCCCACAACCCCAGGCATGTGCCCTGACCGGGAATTGAACCGTGACCTCCTGGTTCATAGGTCGATGCTCAACCACTTAGCCACGCCGACTGGGCACAATCATGCTCTTTTAACAACAAAATTTGTTGTGAAAATAATGTATTCAAAAATTATGATATATTAAATATTCTGTCACTAATATTTTATTTTATTTTTTTAATTTTAGACATGTTTTATCTTTATCAGCTGACAATGGTAATTGTCCTTTTAATTTTAAATCCCCATTGGCCTCATTTGCATATATTTGCTGTTTATAGTCTTACAGAAAATTGTATATTTGTAGGAATCCTTTTACAATTCGTATCATCAGCTACAATTTCTTCTATGACTCACTGTTAAGATTCATTTGGTTGTAAGTAACAGCAATGAGCTCAAGCTAGTTTTAAACCAAAAAAAAAGAATTTTAGATTCTTGAAAAATGGGGATAGAGCTAAGCCTTGTGAGGAATGGAAATCAGAAACTGATGCCATCCTCTACCTATCCTTTCTGCTTCTCTCTGTGAACCTGCACTCCTCTCTTTACCTGCTTTCTGCTTCTCTGTGCACATGTTGACCCATGGCGGCTCTGCAGCTCTCACCTGTCCCCATCACTGGAGGTGACTGTCCCTGAATACCACTTTTCAGTTTCTTAGAGGGAATCTGAAGGACTTGGCTGAGTCAGGTATGCAATCTCTAGCTCACTCAGAGGAAAGTGGTCTTGCAACGGCCAGGGGTCCCCATGTGTGGGTTTGGGGTACAAAAAAGACACTCCTTCTCAGACAGAGGGACTGGTTATAAGCTGGGAGAGACTGGCAGGTCTCTCTACTGCACACCTAAGAAGTTCTATGGGCTTTGAGTAGAGCATGTCTATACTTGCATCTTCTTGAATGTATGGCCTTTTCACAAAATGGGGGGGGGGGGCCGTAATTAGGTTTTCTAGTTGTCAGGTTTTAAACTATTTCTGTTTGCTTTTGTTAAAGCAATAACTTACTTAGTACATCACATATTTCATTAAATGTTCCTTTAAAATTAGAAAAGATATCAGTAACCAGACACTTGAAGATGAACTCTCAAAGTTATAGTTAAGTGCCTTTTATTATGTTTGTATAGTTTCTATGAGGCGACCTTTTGTATTTGAAGTTTGGAGATGGAGGAAGACAGAAACTACAGTTAACCCAATAGCACCTCATTTTTTACATTCTTCCACTCACTCCACAGCAGGGGAAAGAAAATTACTGCGTTAAATAATTTCTTTCCTAAAGAAAGCTAGTTAGAAGGTCACATTATATTGAATGTAAACAGAACAAGCATCACCAGGCTAGTATTTCTTGGCTTCCTGAATATTTCCTACTAATCAAGTCCAATTACTATACATAGGATTTAGCATTTATATCTGAAATTAGTATTCATACAATGAATTTTTTCTTTCTAGATGAGACTAAGAAAGAGGTCAAGCCAATTAACAGTGTTCGTTGTCCATCTCCTGTTTTAAATACTCCATGGATACCATATCAGAACTACTGCTACAATTTCATGATAGCAAAGAACAGATACACAGCAGTAACAAAAGATGATATTCATTCTAGATGCCAAAAACTGAGTAAGTATATTATATGGCCATTATATATTGCATTATGCTCATTTTTTAAAATCTTGCCTGTGTTCTAAATATTTCTAATTAGCACTAGTAACAAGATCTCAAAAGTATTCATCTTCTAATTTCTACATTAATTTGTTTTTAATTAAAGTGGAAGGTATAGCAGTTACCTCTTTCTTTATCCATTCATCAGAGAACTAGTCTGGCTTTACAGGTGTAAACAAAATGGGTTCTACTTCACAAGGGAAAGAAATATCACTATATAGAGGGGACTGTGGGCAAAATGAAAAGTTCATTTGAGTGGTCAGAAGCTTAGATAAGCCACAAAGAAGCAGCTCTGCTTTAAAAAAAAAATACATATTTCACACTTTAAAGACGTTTCAGATATTTCCTATGCCATCCACTGGGGATTTGGAACTTCTGAATAGTGGACCTATGAATTTTGCAGAAAGTGCCTATGGGAAATACCAAGCCATTACCCTCCCCACACCCCCAAAGTCTGCAATGTTGAACACTGGTCTTGAGAAGTGTTCTACACAAGAAGATCCTTAGAAAAAGAACAAGGTTAAGAAACACCATCACTTCCTGTTACAGATGATCAAATGTGCATTTGCATATATTGTAAGAAATACTGGCACAAATGAACTAGTTGACTTGTTTAACCAGTGTTTGCAAAGTTTTTATCCATGTAGCTCTTTTCTGAGGAACTCCTATTAATTCCCTAAGGAACACAATATGGGAAATAAAAACTTTTTTTAACCCTAGTATAAGTGATCGCTAAGACAAAGGAAGCTCTGTCTTAGAACCCATCCAAGAGGTTTTATTTATTATAGTCTTTGACAATGTATCTATCATAAATACAGGTGGAATTGTACAACTCAAAATAAGCTTTAAATGGGGAAAGGTGACGTGAATTAGTTTTAAATACTCTACTCCTCTACTAGATTGTCACTAGTCTATAAGACCTTATTGATCATCAAAATGTTTTAAAGCTTCTTAACCTATTCATTTTAGTACAACGAGACAGTTTTAATTGACATGTCTTTCTTATTTTCTGCTATTGTTTAAGTTTAGGGGTATATTAAACTGGGAAATAACATTTTCTAAATCAAATAAAGTGTTCTAGATAAATTATTGTTTAAATTATTGACTATTTTTCTATTTAACAGATCCAAAATCGCATATTCTGAGTATTCGAGATGAAAAAGAGAATAACTTTGTTCTTGAGCAACTTCTGCACTTTAATTATATGGCGTCATGGGTCATGTTAGGTATAATTTACGAAAGTAAGTTGTAAATCTGCTGATTTTCTCTATTTATATTTATACTTTTTACAAACTACTTGCTTATCAAGCTATAAAAGAATAGTCCTTCAAAGTATATGTGTATTAATATACAAAATTATCATTAATGCTCTAAGCGTAACATATGAATATGAAACATTTCTTATGTCTCCTCTCTGCTATTAAAATGTCTTTACCACCAAGCTGAGAGTTAAATGGTGAAAAATAAATCTTTCTCTACTCTCCCTTCTATCAGTTCCAGACTAAAAATGATCACATTCCCAACTGCATCTCCAGTACTTACTTTGTGTCTGTACTATGCATGTGGGATGAGTGAGAACAGAATTACACTTCTACTAATGTTGTGTTTTTATAACATTGGCGTGGGGTATACATTAGGAAAATCATGTACATAGTTTGACAACGGGATAGAATATTTGACATTGGGTCTGAATACCACAAATCCAAGTTAATCGCTATAAAATTTGTAAAGCACAGATTCTAATAATAGGGTCATTAAGATCAATTTAGAGAGATACTCAACTAGAGATGTCCTGAAAATCATAGAAAAAAGAAAATCACTCTGTGGGCATAAAGCATCAAAAAGTATGCATTTATTCAAAAACAGGCCGTAATAAGGGGCACGGGACAATGATAGTCAGAGGTGGGGTAGGAAAAGAAACTAAATTACTCAAATCTGACCATTTAAAAATAGCCTTCTCTTTGCTATCTAACTTGTCTTTCTTAGAGTTTTAAAGGCATTTCTTAAATGTTTATGGCTTGCAAATTAGTTAACGAAAATTAAGCTATCAAGCAATTGGTAAGATTTGGGTTGCCAGTTGAAGATGAGTTCATCATAATAGGACATAGTTGCCCAAGTCTTTTTTCCGATGACACTTGAATACTTTTAAATTTAGAAATGGCGGAGGGTGGGGAGGAGGCAGAGGAAACTAGATGGAAAGTTCTCAGGCTTTATCTGAAAGTGACTGAGGAAATAGTGAACTTATGGAGCAGCGGAGACCACACCCAGGATATAGTTCGAGATTTCAATTGCACCCTCTGATGTATTTTGTTAATTGTATGATCACAAACAACTGAATATGTATTCTATATTCTGAAAAGCGTTTTCAGATCTCTAGACTTTCTTTTAATCATCCTAAAATTTTTAATAAAATGTCTGAGTAACAAAATTTCTATTAAAATATGTAGCCATATGAGCAACATGTAGAGAGATGTTTCAAGCAAATTTGGTTTAAGTCTAATTCTTACTGGCTTAATTTATACCCATGGATTTTTTTACCGCCTTGATATACTTAAATAATATTTAACTGTATGCCACCCATACAAAGGATTTTGTTTTTTAAAATTCTGAACTTTTCAAAATTAAGGCCATGAATAGACATTACTAAGAGAAGCCACATGTCAACTGAAAGATATTTCAAATGAAAATGGTTTTGTATAGCAACTTCAGAAATACACCTTTGCCCATTGTGTTAGTCAGAAAATTATAACTTTAACATTTGGGGAGAGGGAAAGAAGGACTAGGATACATGAGGTGTTACAAAGCAGCAATAAAGAACAAAATCATATGTACAGTACTGCTAGTGTTACATTGCTGCAGGCAGATGTTTAGGATAATGCCTTGGGAGATGGGGATCTCTGAAAGGTACAGACAATCAGGATTATGTGCAGGTAGTAATGACATCACTTCTCATACCAATTCATAATTTCAATAGGCCCAGAAGTTTGTTTTTCCAAAAACTTGATTGAGATATAGTCACATCCACATGATTTAGCCATTTAAGGTATATAATTTAATGGCTTTGTGTATCATCAGAGAGCTCCGCAATTATCACTAACCCATTAGTAGTGGGTTAGTGAACTAATGGGTATAGAAACACCATACCCATTAGTAGTTCTTCCTCATTCTCTATCCCCTCTCCCAACCCTCAGCAACCACTGATCTATTTTCTGTCACTACAGATTGCCTACTCTAGACATTTCATATAAATCAGATCATACAATATGTGATTTTTTGTGACTGTTCTACTTAGCATAATGGTCTTAAGGTTTATGTATGTAGCACTGTAGCATGTATCACATATTATGCCTTTTATGGCTGAATAATATTCCATTGTATGGATATACCACATTTTATTCATCTGTTTATCATGGGCATTTAAGTTGTTTTCACCTTTTTGGTTATTGTGAATAATGCTGCCATAAACATTCATATACAAGTTTTTATATGGATGTATGTTTTCATTTCTCTTGGATATATACTTGGTCTGGAATTGTTGGATTTGTGTAATCCTTTGAAGAACTGACAGACTATTTTCCAAAGCGGCTATACCATTTTCCATCAAGGGTTCCAATTTCTCCCATATCTACGCCAACACTTGGGGGGGGGGGGGGCGTTGTTTGTTTGTTGTCTTTTTTATTATAGCCATCCAAGTGAGTCTGAGTGATTTATCATTGAGGTTTAATTTATTTATCTGATGATTGAAACTATTCAGCATTGTTTCATGTATTCATTGGCAATTTGTACGTCATCTTTGGAAAAATCTCTATTCAGACCCTTTGCCCATTTATTATATTGTTTGTCCTTTTTATTGTTGAGTTCTAAGCATTCTTTCTATATTCTGGATAGAAGTCCTTTGTCAAATAAATGACTTGCAAGTATTTTCTTCCATCACTTTCTTAATAGTATAATTTGTAGCACAAAACTTTTAATTCTAACGAAGTCCAATTTATGTATATTTTTCTTTTATCACTTGTGCATATCTAAGAGGACTTTGCCTGCCCCGGGGTCATGAAGATGTTCTCCTATGTTTTCTTCTAAGAGTTTTATAGTTTTTGGCTCTTAGATCTGTGATCTATTTAGAGTTAATTTTGTATATGGTGAAAGGAAAGGGTCCAACCTCATTTTTTATTTTTGTACATAGATATCCTGTTCTCCCAGGAACTATTCTTTCACCATTGAATTGTCTTGGCACTCTTGTCAAAAATCAGTTGACACAATTGTGCACAATTGTGTATGATTTCAGTCCAGATAAGAGATTTGTCACTAGTCTTATAATAAATTATTTTTTATAAAATAGTTACATTCATTTTCATTGCAGTCAAACATACATGTAGGAGACATGAATATTTGATGAAAGATAACATGTAAAGTTATTTCAGGGTGGTGGAATTATCAGTAAATTTTTATTATTTTCATGTTTATAACTTGTACTTCCAACATTGAAAATAAGTATGATTCACTGTTATAATTATTAGAGGGATGCACATAATCATATAACCTTTTAGGAAGTAGAGAAAGAAGAAAGAAAAGTTAAGATTGAAATATTAACCTCATAATTGTAATTCAAGTATTGATTTCATCTCTAAGCATAGAAAAAAATGTTTCTTCTCTAGATAATTCTCTTATGTGGTCTGATAAGACCATGCTGTCCTATACGCACTGGAGAGGGGGAAGACCAGCTATAAAAAACAGCCGGCTTTTTGCTGGCTTGAGTACTGATGGCTTCTGGGATATTCATACCTTTGATGCTATTGAAGAAATACATTACTTTCATCAGCACAGCATTCTTGCTTGCAAAATTGAAATGGGTGAGTATGCTAATGCAGAGTTTCCACTCCAGGGAAAGAGAATATAAAGCCATTAGCTCCCCTGGTGGGAACCTGGTAATTGTATTTTCTGAGTGCTTCCTCTGGATTCCGTCCTACAAGAGGTGCTACAGAGGTGACCTTGACAGTTTTGCGGAGCACTGGTCATATGTTTTGTACAGTGTCCCTCATTCTTTTCTCAAGGTTAAACTGAGGTTATGGTTTTGGAGTTTAGGGGAAAACCACAGAAATAGTGTCATTCTCATATCAGATGAGGGGTATGCTATCAACATGATTATCACTACTGATTTTAATCTTGGTCACCTGGCTCTAGGTAATGTTTTCAGATTTTTCCACTGCAAAGTTACTCTTTTTGCCCCTTCCCACAATGTACTCTTTGTTAGGAAGGCACTGTACTCAGTCCACATTTACTTAGTGGAGAGTTACTCTCCACCTTCCTGAAGGGGGTGGTATCTACATACTTTATTTGGAATTTGACCACACAGGAGGTTTTTTCCATTCTTCCACATTTTAAAATTTATTGTCATTTAATAAGTCAATCAAAGAAAGAAAGATACTATATGATTTCACTTCTATGTGGAATCCAAAGACAATATAAATGAACGAAGAAAACAGAAACAGACCCATAGACTCAGAGAACAGACTGATGGTTGCCAGAGGGGAGGGAGGTGGAGGACTGAGTGAAAAAGATGAAGGGATTGAGAACTACTGATTGGTAGTTACAAAATAGTCATGGGGATGTAAAGTACAGTGTAGGGAATATAGTCAATAATATTCTAATAACTGTTTGGTTCCAAGTGGATGCTGGAAATATCAGAGGGAGCACTTTGTAAAGTGTATGATTGTCTAATTACTATGCTGTACACCTGAAACTAATACAAAGTAATACTGAATATAAACTGTAATTGAAAAAAAAATCAGTCATTTATTGATATCTGTATTGGCTCATGGTTACATATGTCATACTGGGAATATAATCCAATTTACTATACTGTTTAATCTTTTGACCAGATTGTGCCAGCTCTGGACATTGGGTGTTCTTTCACTTGGCTTCTGTGTCCCTTTGAAATACCCTCATCAGTGTGGTTGTGTTATTGTTATTATTTGTTTGATTTCAGCTTACTTTCTGGTTACCTCATTTCTTTTTAGTCCTGATTTCACCTAACCTAACATCTGGAGACCTAATTTTTCCAGCAGGCTTTATGACTCCCTCAATTCAGAGGAACATCTCCTTCTCTAGTAGTTACACACATTCTAGCGGGTACTTGTTTTGCCCTCATTGTAGGTATTGTTGTTTTCTGCCCACAAGTAATATGTGAGCTCCTTCAATGAAAGACAGTGTTTATGCCTTTTTCTTAATCAGCCAGACTATTGTCATATTTAAGAGCCTGTTAAATGTGCCGTGGGAAGAAGAAAAATAAAGTATGCATTTGACCTCTGTTCCTAATAAGCAACCCAGTTTTATTTATCTTTTGAAGTGATTGTATGACCTATCTTACCCCAAATATGTATTTTATTTTTAATATTTATTTATTAAATTGATTGGATGACATTGGTCAACAATCATATTTAATCATGAACACTTTTCATTTAAATATTTTAGTTGACTACAAGGAAGCATATAATACTACTCTGCCACAGTTTATTCCATATGAAGATGGCATTTACAGTGTCATTCAAAAAACAGTGTCATGGTATGAAGCAGTAAACATGTGCTCTCAGAGTGGGGGTCATTTGGCAAGTGTTCATGACCCACAAGGCCGGCTCTTCCTGGAAGATATCGCAAAGCGGGATGGATTTCCACTGTGGGTTGGGCTCTCAAGTCATGATGTGAGTATTGCTGCTGTTGTCCAGAAATTTCCCACATTTGTTAGTGGTTTAGCAAAGTGAGCATAAAATATCAATGCAAAGTATAGCATCAGATTAAGTCCTGGGACTCAATTTGCATAGCATCGAGTTTTCTCGACTTTCCACAATATAGAACAAATTGAACATTATATCTGTAGGGTGCACTGCAGCACGTGGCTGGGACTGCCGTGGCCCTCAGCACTGCCCGGGCCCAGCAGATGAGTAACACAACAGCTCTGTGATCTGTTTGGGGGAGACCAATTGAAAAGCTGGTGAAAAGGAAAGAGCACAGAATCAGAAAAGCCCGAGTTCCACACTGGTGGCAGATCTTCCATTTACATATTGGGTGATCATGGGCAAGATATTTGACATTTGCAAGCTTATTTCCTCATCTGTAAGATTTTGGAGTGATAATTATTTTCCTTAATCTATGATTATAATGAAGATTGCTATAAGCTGCCAAGTAAAATTCTTAACATTAGGACTAGTAAATATATAAACTTTTGCCACTTTCCCCTAGAAATTAGCACTATTTAAGAGTAATATTCTATCAGTAAACACGTCTTTTGTGCCACTATTTGAGTTCTATTAATTATATTCATGTAGCTACAATAATGTCTAGTATACAAAAAAAAATAGACATCTCTTGAAATTAGAATTGAAGGCCTGATGTAAATAATCTTTAAGACAATGGGAAAAATAAAATAAAGGATGGTAAATTAGGATTATAGAATCAAGGAAAAATCAAAAGTAATCTTGGGAAGTAGTTTTCAGCCCCCTGCTGATTACTGGCTTCTGTAATATGAAAAATAATGTAGCCAGAAACACAAACCACAAAACTCTAAAACATAAAAAACAATATTTAGGATAATATCAATGCTGGAATTGTAAATCTGTAATTGTGATAAGTGGAAGCCATTTACACATCATTTAATTTCAAGTGTTATATAAACTCGTCTTTAAACAGAATAAATCTAGAGATAGAGTGTAAAAACTCTGACTCTAAATTTAAAATCCTACTTAAATTGTGCCAGAGCAAATGTCTCAAATCAGTGCATCGAAAGTAAATCCCTGATTTTACAAATAGGTCCAGACCTACAATACTTGCAAGCGAATAATTAACGCTCCACTCCAACATTTCTTAAAGTATATATGTTCTTGTTTATGTTCTTTTTTGAAGTCATACATCTAGATTCAGGTTGTCTCTATCATTCCTAAAACAGGGCACGGAATCAAATTTTGAGTGGTCTGATGGCAGTGCGTTCAACTACATCCCATGGAAAGATAAGCAGTCTGCTGGGAATTGTGTTCTCTTGGATCCAAAAGGAATTTGGAAACATGAAAACTGCAACTCTTCTAAAGATGGTGCTATTTGCTATAAATCTACAAAATGTAAGACTTGATTTCAAATAACTGTATATTTACTAAAAAAGAACGTTTGTTTTATGCATGTGATTAAGTACTCAAAGGAGTTTTTAGAGATTTTAAATAAGGTTTATTCACAAGTCCTCCAAAAATAATTTTGATATTTTTCGCAAAGAGAAATAAATACAATATACCCGGTCAGGGAATTTGTTCTCAAGGATATTCAGTTGTTCCATCACTAGGGAAGTCTTAACTCTAGAATTTGTGAGTTTCAATTTCACTTAGCAGTGTTTTCAAAGACTGAGATTCTTCTTTAAAAGAAGTGTCCCACAGCATGTATCTTGAGAAATGCCTCACGTGGCCTACCATATTGATTGATGGCTGTGGGAGTCTCTGTGGTCAAGAAGTCTGTTGCATGTTGTGTAACTAAGCATTTTCCAAACTTATATGATCCTTAAAATTGAGGAAAGAGCCCCTTCCATCAGGGGCTGTGCCTGAGGTCATTTCTGGTAGGTAGAGCGTGAGCCTTGGGGAAGAGCACAAGAACCCAGACCACCAGGAGCTGCAGAGGCATGCTGGGCGGCCAGGGCCTGGTGCGGGTTGGTCTCTGAAGCTTCTGGTTCTCAGTGCTGGCCCTTGCAGAAAATATAAATGTAAGAGTTGGAAGTAAAACTCCATGAATAACAGTAAAGAAAGAAACCGTATGCAGCCTAAGACAGCCCAGATGCAGACTGGATAGAAACGAGTAGACTTAGAAGATAAGGTATCTCCGGGGGTTCCTAGTATAAGAAGAATTTTATTTTTAAAGCCAAGCAATTCAGAAAGGTCCGTCAATCTTAGCTATGCATTGGGAGCCAACGTTCAAGATGTTTTGCATCTAATGAAGCAACACAGATCATTGTCTTTGTCATTAATGTGCAAGACACATTGTTGTCATCGGCAGTTTATTTTTGAAAAAGCAACTATTTTCACAAGGTGGTAAAAGGAAGCACTTGCTAGTAACGTCTCTCCATCAGCAGCGTTAATGTAGAGCTGTCACAAGTCCTACAGACTTTACAGATGGACTTGGCAATGAGCTTTGATCACCAGTCACTAGGAAACTTACCCAGGAGTTATCAACTGTCACACTGAAGGGAGACTTAGAGCTCACACCAAGAGCATTCATGGAAAGAATGGAGGCAAAAGCCAATCAAATAACTAAAGTTCAAAAAAGATCAAGCCCAGCTGGAGAAACAGAAGATAGAGAAACAGAAGAAGGCATTAAGAACAGTCAGAACATCTCTTGATGAAGAAGGAAACAGCAGCAGCCATTCTTCTGGAACCACTGGCACCACGAATTAGAAGAACCTACCAAATTGAGATAAGGAGGAAAAAGCAGGAAAAGCCTTCAGTTACTGAAGGACATGCAGATCATGAAGAATGCACACAAAAGAATAGCTGGGGTTGAGATGACTGACCATACCAGGTCAGAGCTTTGATTCTGATGATCTGTACCGCACAAATAGCATGTTGATACTTCACCTTCCAGTTCTCATGCTCTCTTCTGTGGAAATTAATAATCAGAGACACAGGCTTTGCTACACAGGCTTCCTGTGTGATACAGCACAATTAAAAGTTAAACATTTTAAATGGAAACCAGAGGAGTTTTTAAAAGCTGAGAAGCCACACTTACTCTTTTTTATTTGAGAGTGATTTTACTTTGCTGACATTTTGCATTTTGTAAACACATTACCAAATTTTCATTTGTGGCTGTGATTTTGAAAAGTAGTTCTGTATATGGCAAGGTAAAACAAGGTTTCTGTTATCAAAATAAAAAGGGATCCAAAGAATTGTAATTATTATTTCAAAGTAGTTACAGGCCTGTCTAGCCAATCTTTGCTCCTTTTTCTATTATGTCTTTCCAGTTGTTTTTAACTTAGTCTAAATCCATCTTCGAGGGCAAGTACTTTCCTTTATCGTCTAAGTTCTAAAAATGGTATTCTAAAAATCTAATTAGAGTGTACACTCAAAAGTCAGTTATTTTTTTTTTCTGTGCATTTTTACAATTGTCCCACATTTTTCTAGCTCAAGAGGTATCCTCTCCTACATATTCATCGCGATGCCCAGCAGTAAAAGGGAATGGATCCCAGTGGATCCAGTACAGGGACCACTGTTATGCATCTGACCAGGCGTTACACACTTTCTCAGAAGCCAAACGGTTTTGTTCAGAACTTGGTGAGTTAAAATTCATTTATTTTTTTTTTGATTCAATAATATAATCAGTGGAATTTTTTTAAATAAATAATTTGAAACAATGATTATATTTTTGAAAATATTTTTAAAGCAGACACAATTTATAATAGCATTATCACCTAATTGCCCGGTGGTGGGGAAATGGTTAAGTATTTTATGATGTATGACCTCAATGGAATATTGGAATAGCCATTAAAAATAATCGATCTAAGAATAAGTACATGGAAAATAAAAGTAAGTGAGAGGAAGTAGAATGAAAAATAAGTAAATTGTTATGTGAAGATACTGGTTAAGAGGTAAATTTTTTACAAAGTTGGTTAAGTAGTAAATGCAAAATTGTAGATTTTTTCATTATTTAGTTAT